AGTCGCTATGAGCCGGTTCCGACTCGATGGCATCTAACAACAACAGCAGCTTCTGGAGTTTGACATTACTCAAACATGCTCAAGATGCACTGATAATTACTGATAATTAGAATGTAAAGGTTAGAAACAAAGAGGCAGAATCAGTAGCTGGTAAATATGGGCTTGTGATAGAAATAATGCTAGAGATGGCATGATAGAATTTTGCAAAACCAATGACTTTTTCATTGCAAACACCTTTTTAAACAACATAATGAGAATACACACATGGACCTCACCTGTTAGCATAGACAGGAATCAAACTGACTATATATGTGGGAAGAGACAGTGAACAAGCTCAATATCACCAGCCAAAACAAGGCTAGGGACCGACTGGGGAACAGGCAATATGCATGTTCAGGCTGAAGCTGAGGAAAATTAAACAACTCCACATGAGCCAAAAAAGGACCTTGAATATAACCCACCTGAGTTTACAGATCATCTCAAGAACAGATTTGATGAATTAGACACAAATGAACAAAGACCAGAAGAGTTGTGGGAGAATAAGAATATCATACAGGAACAAAGCAAAAAGTCATTATAAAGACGAGAGAAGGGAGAACAAACAAGATGGCAGATTAAGTAGATGTGCAGTGAGAAGCTCCATCAGCAACAACACAGAATACCGGACCAAGCAGGCTCAGGGGATGGTGCCAGAACTCTGAACCATATATAAAGATATATTTAGAAGGTTGGAAGGCTTATAGCTAGAGGAATTTGTAACAGAAGTAAGAAATCCCTTGCATTCTAATTCAGGACGCTCAGCTGCTCCCGGAGCCACCATTTTGGATGAGAAAGAGTGGGGGAAGGATCAGAGCAGCCACGGACACCTGACAGAACTACAGGGATAAAGGTGTGGACTTTTTTTTTTTTTTAAATATCTGTTCATTGGTCTCTTGCTGTCTGTGCACCTCCATTCTGGTGACTAGAGGGGGTGCCTGAGCGAGTGGACACACCACTCCCACCCCTAGAAACTTCTACTACACATGTACACAGATCTCCTCGAAATTTAAAGTGACAGTTTCCACTTAAAACCAAATGGCACCGCAAAACGGCCACAGCTGGCCCTGAACTGTTTAACACTAGGAAAAAGGCCTGAATGGGAATTGTGGAGCAGGACAGGCAGAATAAAAAGAAAATAGGCCAAAAATTAAATCCTGACTTACGTCACAACCACCAACAGTAGCATCTTGAAATTTCTCAGGAAGAAGAATGAAAAGGGAAGCCCATCTCCTCCACCTGGAGGCAATCAGAAAGCATAAAAAGTACCAAAATACACACCCATCTAAGTATTAAGGCCACAGATAACTCCTGAATATGCCCCCCAAAAAAAACAGAAGCAAATGACCATATCAGCACATGTCCAGAAACAAGATAAAAGTGACTGAGGCAAATGAGCTGGAAGTAGACCTACACTCCTCACTGAAAGATGGGGAAGCT